GATCCTTGGTACCTTGGCTGGTACCTTGCCTCCGACTGGCCAATACCTGATGTTTCAGAGGATTTGTTGGTACTGAAGGAATTAGAATACTACTTTTAAGTGTTCCTTAAACTCTTTTCTGATCGTCCTTATGGCACCTGCACTGGTTACTCTTGTTGGTGTTGACTGTGCATTCTTCCTATTACTTCTCCTGCCAGGGAGCAGGTCCTGCATTCAGCTGTGAATTCTTTGAAGGGAATGCACTGTCTATTATGCACCTGCTCCTATGGAGAACAGAACTTGGCCAGTCAGGTGGCTCTTCTATTCCTACTGCTAATCAATGGATTAGAAATAAAATGATAAAGCAGTAACTCATCATGGGGGCAGGGTGAAGTGAGGAGATGGGGAAGGACTAATATGTCTATGTTCTCACAGATAGTAAAAGTTAACCCTGTTAAACTGAAACGTAATTAAAAGCGCATTTTCCTTCAGAAGTTTCTGTTTTATGTTGGGGACCCAGGAGTTCATGGGACAGTTAGGCTGGCAAGTACCATGGTGAAAGGAGGTGGAAGAGACAACTCTGATTGAGAGCATTTCAAAGGCTGCCATGTCTCTTCACATATGATGACATGATAAGGGTCTGCAGAAAGTATGCATGCCCTTCCAGGTGTGGATAGATGTTTGGCTGCGTGTGTGTTCCCTCTGTGTGCCACTCCAGCACGGCAGACCTCAAGTGAACTGCCCAATGACCACAAGATCCATTAAGAGACAAAGGCACCCAGCCAGGTTTATTGTCGACGAAGCATGATACTAGTATCCCGCAGACTCTACCAGACCGCTAATAAATGTATGCCCGTAACAATGGACTAGCTCAGTGAACGGCGGGACTTTCCGTTCCTCCCTTGGCCAGACAAAGATACTCCCTCTGAGATACATCTGTATACCCTGATACAAACAAGTTACTACTGCCCCTCTGACATAGTTACTGTAGTTACTGCCCCCTGACGTGGCTAGTTATCACTCATCCTTGTACATATAGGTTCGATTAAAACATCTCTATTACATACTGTCATCCTGACCTTATCTTTTAGGAGGGATCACTGGGTTCCTGTTATCCTTGGGGAAAGTTTTTGTACCATCCTTGGTATCAGGATGTTCAGGTACCACTTGATATTGGGATGTGTTCACGTGAGTATTGTGTGACTAGCATTCCTTAGGAATGTGCATTTCTGCAATATTAGCCCTGTTCTTGCCAGATTCTGTGAACCGGTCCTGCCTCATACCAGGCCTCTGATACAAGGACTTACATCTCAGGCTCTCTTCCTACTACACTAGGTACCACATTTCAGCTTACAGCTACCAACATTTTTGAGAGGGATAACATGAAGCGAGGGCGGCTGTTTCCATGCAACTGGGGGATATTAATGGGCAAAGATCCCTTCTGAGCCATATACTCTCCCTTTGGAATTGCTGTGAGATGACTATGAATTGGACATAAATCAGACATACGCGAATGTATCCATTCCAACATGCAGCAGCAGGCATAAACCTCCATGCAAGTTGTGTTTGAATGTAAGATTCCACACTCAGACTCCTCCTAAACTGCTTAATTACAAAATTAGACTGGAATGAAGTATTTACCGAGTGACTACAGATTAGATCTGAGCATCCTGATAACATTTATCCCCCTGTGCTAATAACATTACTGGTGTCCTGTTTAATTACTATGATTTTATAACCTTGTGACAGAAATCATAGAAACTTTGTGAAACTGTGCAATATGTTAAAAAAGCCGCCCCCATTCCTAAGGCCGCTCCTTGCTGCTGTGGAGTTCTGTGTCAAATACTACAGGGCCATAGTTGCATTCTGGGTGCCTGATTTTGCTGCTATTGAAATCAGTGGTCAAACTTCCATTGACTTCATTTGATCAGGATTGGGGTCAGGAAGGAGCTGTAAGGAAAGGTAAATGTAAATGCTGAGTGCCCTTTGCCATTTGAAGGGCTAAGCCTATAACTACAGTTACTGGATTTTTTTTCATGTCACCTTTAAGAGCAGAATGTAGCTATAAATATCTGCTTATGATTTTTAAAAATGGCCTCTTTTGGTACCACAATCTTGATTTCTGTCCCTTGAATCATATGTTTTTTGACATTTGAATTAATTTCACACTAGTGACACACGAAATTAATCCAAAACATGGCTACAAAAAGTGTCCTCCTTGATTATCAATAAACAAACACTGAGAGAAATCCAAGACCCTTAGTCAAGGTGTGGAATGGTCTCGTGTGAGATCAAACTTGGAAAACAAATAATTAAGGGAGGGAACAAGATGTCTTGGAGAAATGAGCCTACTGCCTTTCGCTGCTAGATGCCTGGTCTGAATCCAACCCTGGTTGCTCTATGCCATGCCCTGCATACAATGTGATTACACAGTGTTGTCAGTTTGGCTTGTGTGTGCATGTGTTCTTTCAGCGTGCTGTCCCAGCTCTGCTCAGACAGCTGGTTTAGCAGACCTCAATAGTACTACCCAGTGTTGATAAGTGCTGAAGGCTGGAACATTATTGCTTTGGTAATGCAGTTTGGGCTGCCCAGTGCTTCTATCCTTGAAGCTTTAGTGCTATTAATAGATAGTGCAGCATGTTAATTCGTCAGACCTTGGTGTTGCTGTGATGGGTTCGGTCACAGAAACTCCCCTCAAGACTGTCACTCGATGAGCTGGGATACCACTGAGAACAACCCTCCTGCCAGAACAGGTGCCCCTCCACTCCTGTCTTGCTGACTTAGACACTCCAGTCAGCTCCAGCACAGACCCAGCGGTTGGGCCACGCCTCTCTGCAGTTCATTGAAATTGAGATTCACTCAGCCCAGGAGCCCCTCAGTTAACAGGCACTTTTCTAGCACCCAGTGTTCAGCCTTTTTGGGAGCCTGAACCCCAAATAGATCCACTTTACTCTGTTGAGGGATGTGATCATTCCCCTCTATGCAACATTAGTGAAGCCTCATCTGAAGTACTATGTCCAGTTTTGGGCCCCACACTACAAGAAGGATGTGGAAAAATTGGAGAGAGTCCAGCGGAGGGCAACAAAAATGATTAGGGGGCTGGAACACATGACTTATGAGGCGAGGCTGAGGGAACTGGGATTGTTTAGTCTTCAGAAGAGAAGAATGAGGGGGGATTTGATAGCTGCTTTCAACTACCTGAAAAGGGTTTCCAAAGAGGATGGATCTAGACTGTTCTCAGTGGTAGCAGATGACAGAACAAGGAGGTATGGTCTCAAGTTGCAGTGGGGGAGGTTTAGGTTGGATATTAGGAAAAACTTATTCACGAGGAGGGTGGTGAAACATTGGAATGGGTTACCTAGGGAGGTGGTGGAATCTCCTTCCTTAGAGGTTTTTAAGTTCAGGCTTGACAAAGCCCTGGCTGGGATGATTTAGTTGGGGATTGGTCCTGCTTTGAGCAGGAGGTTGGACTAGATAACCTCCTGAGGTCCCTTCCAACCCTGATATTCTATGATTCTACAGGGTAAATTCATAAATTGTCAGCCCTCTATAACACTGATAGAGGTATGAACAGCTGTTTGCCTCCCCCCCCCCATTAATCACTTACTCTGGGTTAATTAATAAACAAAAGTATTTTATAAAGTAAGATTTAAGTGGTTTCAAGGAATAACAGACAGAAAAAAGCAACAGAGAGTCCTGTGGCACCTTTAAGACTAACAGATGTATTGGAGCATAAGCTTTCGTGGGTGAGTACCCACTTCATCAGGTGCCACAGGACTCTCTGTTGCTTTTTACAGATCCAGACTAACACGGCTACCCCTCTGATACTAGACAGAAAAAAGTAAGTCACCAAGCAAAATAAAGCAAAAACACGCACGTCTAAGCCTAATACATTAAGAAACTGATTACGGGTAATATCTCACCCTCAGAGATGTTCCAATAAGCTTCTTTCACAGACTAGACTCCTTCCTAATCTGGGCCCAATCCTTTCCCTGGTACAGTCTTTGTTAGTTCCAGCAGACATCTCAGGTGGTAAGCAGGGGTTTTCTCATGACTGGCAGCCCCTTTTGTCCTGCTCCACCCCCTTTTATAGCTTTGGCACAAGGCGGGAATCTTTTGTCGTGCTTGTCCCCAGCCCCACCTCATCAGTGGAAAAGTACAAGGATTAAGATGGATTCCAGTATCATGTGACATGGTCACATGTCACTGTAAGACCCCTAGTCTCCATTCTTCCTGGGTTGGCCCACACGTACACAGGAAGGCTTGCAGGTAAATAAACCATTTACAACCAACTGTCCTTGTTAATGGGGGCCATCAAGATCCTATACCATCATTAATGGCCCACACTTTGCATAATTACAATAGGACCTCAGAGTTATACTTCATATTTCTAGCTTCAGATACAAGAAGGATACATGCATACAAATAGGAGGAATAGATTCAGTGGTTTATAACCTTTTTTATGATTCCTTACAAGAGACCTTTTGCATAAAGCATATTCCAGTTACATCATATTCACACTCATAAGCATATTCCCATAAAACAAATGGAGTGCAATGTCACAGTTACTTAGGGTATGTCTACACTACGGGATTAATCCGAATTTAGATAATTCGAATTTGGGAAACAGGTTGTATAAATTCGATTGTGCGCGGCCACACTAAGCACATTAATTCGGTTTTTAACCACATTAATTCGGTGGTGTGCGGCCACACTACCCCATTTATTTTAATCACATTAATTCGGTTGTGTGCGGCCACACTAACCCTAATTCGAATTAACAAAATCGATTTTGACGCTACTCCGCTCGTCGAGGTGGAGTACAGAAATCGATTTAAAGCGCCCTTTAATTCGAACTAAATGGCTCTGTTGTGTGGATGGGTGAAGGGTTAATTCGAATTAACGCTGCTAAATCCGAATTAATCCCGTAGTGTAGACCAGGCCTTATAAAGAAAGACTACAGGCACAGTTCAGTGACAGGCACTCAGCCAGGTTTGTTGGTGTCAAGACACGGTCCTAGCATGCTGGCTCCCTTGTTACAGGTATGCTAAGACATGAGTGCCCCGTGGCAAGGAATGGCTCAGTCAGCAGCTGGACTATCTGCTGCTCCTTCGACCAAACAAAGAATTAAGGCGAAGTATCCCTATGTTTATAGACTAAAACAAACAACTAACATATACAATTTCCATACTACCTTATGCATCTCATGACATCTGTTTGTTACCACCCCTTGTTCCTGATTTCTTAGACAAAACATCCCTATTCATTATTTTGTCAAACCATCTTATCTTGTATTAGATTGGGGTGTATCTGTACTAGCTAGAATATATTTACATAAATATCTACGGCCTAGTACACTAGCAACAACTTTGCCAAGTTCATGTACTGGACAGTGAACTTGAAAGCATCTGCTTTAATACATGGTCTGACTTTGGTTCACAGTCTCTGGTTCAGGCCTCAGATCTTGCACCAGGACCAGTGCTCCAGGCTCTCTTTATTAGATGTGGCCATGCAAATAGCCACATAAGTGTAGATATTTTAAAGTTGCTGCATAATTATGCTTTAGGTTTTTATCTTTGGGCACGATCCCCAACTAGTGTAAATGAACACATCTCTACTGAAGCTAACAGAGTTATATCAATTTACACCAGCTTAGGATCTGGCCCTGTAGCTTTATGAGTAGCTTGAAGTAAACATACTGCCTTCCTGGTATGAAATCTCCATGGCAGTTGCTTGCCAGATGGCTGATTTGAAAACCAAAGCCATGAGGTGTCAACTGGGTTATGGCACATTCAGAGCAGTTCAATAGGAAAATAGTTTTTCAGTGGATCAGAATACTGTTGGGAGAGTTTGTAACTCATGAGTCTACCCATATGTTCTGTTAACAATTTGGTTTGGTTTGTTATATGTTTATTTACAATAACTGTTTAGTTGAGCTTTAACATAGTTTGGGACTGAATGCAAAATTGGGGAGCAAAGCTAGGAAAAGCTTTGTCTATGTAGCAATTCCCCATACAGTTTTGGATCTTATTTGTTCCCAGCTGAGTATGTTTGCCATAATGCAGGTTGCTCGATGGATAACTGCATTTCCTACCCCAGCTTAGCCCCATCTGCTTTACATATGCCCCCAGCTGTACCTTCTTGGGTAACCAGAGACAGGCTACTTCTGCTCTGCACATAAATCAAGAGACTCAGAGAGAGAGAGGATGGAGCTTCCCATGGAAATTTAGCCACCAAGGAAGGGAATTTGACAACATTAGAGCAGCTGCACACAGATGGCACTCTGGGCTGGGACATCACAGACTCCTTGGGAGTGGGCCTGGTCCACCATGCCTCAACAGCGAGGAGCTTAGAGTGCCTGAAGTTCCTGGTACTGCAAGCCAAGATTCCGGGGAAACAGAGAACCAACAACACTGTGACTCCAGCACGCAGTGCAGCATCCACAGGGAACCTAGCAGAGCTGCAGTGGCTGATCAGGGATGGCAGGTACAACTTACAGGTAGGTGATTGGTGGGGAGAATCAGGTTTCAGGAGCACAGAAGCAAGATAGGGGTTTGTTTTAGGGTAATGGCTCGTGTGGCTCCAGTGCTTTACCCAAGGAGCTGTAGGGCAGAGTGAGCAGTGTTCTAAACAGAGTGGGTCAGTAGCACGTCTGTACAGTCCTTCAGTTTGAGCTGGCATTGGCGTTTCACCCCCAGCACCAGCATGGTGGTCTCTTGTCTCTTTGCAGCATCTTGCTACCAGCACCGGGGAGGAGTTATTGTTATATTACAGTTAAAATTCTCTTTAAGACACTTTTGAGTATGAGAGTTGAACCTAATTTGCTGCCATCTCTTACTGCTTCTAACTTTTCTGAAACTTAATGAATCCAGAAGCTCAGGGTACCTTTATTTCTCAGGCAACTAATGTTCTATTTAAATAAACATACTTGACTACGTTTGCACCGAGAACACACCAGGACAACATGGCAGAGCAAAATGGTACATCCTGCTTTTGTTCTCTTTACTCTTCTGACTAGACACTGGCCCAGATCAGAAGACATCAGATCTGACCATTCCCACCCAGGAATCTTAGGGATGGTAGAATCCAGAACCAGCACCCTGATTTGGGCTTGTCCCTGTCATTTGCCTGAATTGTAACCCCAAATCTAAACCTGCCCAGCATAGGGTAAAGCTTGGATCTGAATCTGAGCTCTAGTTCAGGCCCATCGCCAGTTCTGGTGCAGGTGCTTCTTGGGAAGAATGCTGTTTGTTTATTCAGTATGTACTGACATCGTGATGTAAAGTGTGAGTGACACAGAGGAAGCCATTTGCAGGGCACAAGAAGTTTCACTGGTCCTGCAAAACCCAGGAACTATGTTACAAATTCTTGAGTGTTTTCTGCAGGCCCCTTATCTCTTAACCATTGACTGATATAGAGCTCTTCTGTAACAGATATTTAGGGGTGGTTTATAGAGAGTGTTACACTTGGTCAATCATGCAGAGGGCCACTAAGCCAGGGTGAGAGACTGTCACAGAGTCAGCGGGCGACGCTCTGGAACTACTCCATATGAAGCCAGTCAGGACTCTGAGGGAGCATGCCTCCTCTCTCTGGGCATACTGTTGCCAGGACAAGAAGCTTACACAGAAGCTTGGGGAAGCCAGAGGGCCCTGCGCCCCAATTCTGCAGTCAGACAGGAACACAGCGTAGGACAGAACTTATTAGCACAGAAATCAGTGACTTTCAGCCAAGTCCATCTTGGGGAGTCCTGGGCTAGAAGACCTAGACTCCCCCTCTTCCAGTGCCCCCAGGCAGACTGCCAGCTTCCAGCAACCTGACCTCAGACACCCCGTTGTTCCTCCTCCTTGTTTTTATCTCGCTTCCTGGGCAAAGAGTCACCTGGTCATCACCTAGTTGCATCCCCCTCCTATGTCTCAGGTTACAAAGAGCACTGGTCATAACATATGTATTCATGCAAAACAGTAAAACTCACATAGGCTCAAGAGTAAGACTCACATACAACATGACGAAGTGGGGATTTCCCCTTGTTACATCTCTCCTCCCTTTGAGACTGAACTGAACGGAGTCACTTTAGCCAATGGCCTGGGGAAGTTCGGGATCCCCCTCTCCGGGACAGAGCATTAGCTATAACATTTGCACTCCCTTTAACATGGACCACCTCCATCTCATACTCCTGGAGGGACGGAGTCCACCTCAGAAGCTTGACATTGGCCCCTTGCATCTGGTGCAACCATGGCAGGGCAAGTGGTCAGTGCACACAGTGAAGTGGCGTCCAAATAGATCCGGCAGCAGCCTTTTAAGAGCCCACCCCAGGGCCAGGCATTCCTTCTCTATGATCACATAGCTCTGCTCCCGGGGCAGCAACTTCCTGCTCAGGTACATGATGGGGTGTTTCTCCCCCTTTGCATCAGTGTGCATTGGCGCCACACCCAGCCCTGTGTCTGAGGCATCAGTGAACACCATAAAGGGCTTGTCAAAGTCTGGGTTTCCCAGCACCAGGCCCGTGACCAGATCCTCCTTCAGTGTGCAGAGAGCCCTCTGGCACTGCCTCATCCAGACCAGCTTGTCTGGCTTACCCTGCTTGCATAGCTCAGTGATGGGAGCCGACACAGAGCTAACGTAGGGCACAAACCTCCGGTAAGCCCCTCCATCCCAATAAAGGCGTGGGCCTGTTTCTTAGTCTGGGGAGCAGGCCAATCTCTGATTGCCTCCACCTTGGCCGAATCTGCCTTTAGGCAGCCGCTCCCCACCTTGTGGCCTAAGTACGACACCTCTGCCATCCCCACCTTGCACTTGCCAGCTTTTACAGTCAGCCCTGCATCCTGGAGGTGACCCAGACCCCTCTTCATCTATGACACATGGTCCTCCTAGGTCTGGCTAGCGACACAAATATCATCAATGTCCACTAGAGTAAAACTCTCCATCCCCCTCAGTAAATGATCCCCCTGGTGCTGTCAGGTGACCAGCACCTCCTTGAGGCCGAAAGGTAGGACCAGGGATTTGTACAGCCCCAAAGGGGTAACAAAAGCAGGTTTCAACCTGGCATCTGGATCCAAAGGCACCTGCCAGAAGCCTTTGGTGAGATCCCTGGTCGGGGTTACTGAGTCCCCCCCAACTTGTCAAGGATCTCATCAGGCCTAGGCATGGGGCAGGCCTCCGACATGGTGATGGCATTGAGCTTCCGATAGGCCACACAGAATCGGATCAACCCATCTTTCCAGGGGACCAGCACCACAGAAGAGGTCCTGGAGCTGGTGGATGGCTGGATCACCCCTAAAGCCAGCATGTCTCTGATCTCTCTCTCCAGGGCCTGGGCTGTGTTCCCAGTTACTCTGAATGGGGAACACCTGGATTAGAGAGCTGGCTCCGATCTCCACCCAGTGGACAGCTCAATTATTGAGCCCAGGCTGGTTGGAAAACAGCTGTTGGTATGAATCTCTGCCTGCTGGGCAGGGGTTATCAGAGAGGGGAATTAATTTCAGCAAGGGGCTGGCTCCTGTCTGAGGGAAGAGACCCACCAGGGGCTCTTCCCCCTTCTCCCACTGGCCACACACAGCCAGTACCAGCCTCTCCCTGTCACAGTACGGCTCCATCATGTTGACCTGGTACCCTCGGTGGCTGTGAGCCCGGTTGGGCAGTTCCACCACATTGTTCTCCTCATTCAGCTGCTTGATGACCTTGAAGGGCCTCTGCCAGGCAGCTTACAGCTTATTCTTCCTCACCAGGATGAGAACCCTCACCTGGTCCCTGGTGCCATAGGCTGAGCGGTCATACCAGACCTTCTGCCTCCCTTGGGCCCTGGCTAGGTTCTCCCTGGCCAGACCCATGAGCTCAGTGAGCTTTTCTCAGAAAGTCAGTACATACTCCACCACTGATTCTCCATTGGGGGAGGCCTTCCCCTACCATCCATCCTTCATCAAGTCCAGGGCCACCTTCTGAAAAGGCTCTTCTATGACAGGCAGGTGTCTCAAGGCTGCTTTACCCTTGTCCTGGGCCTTTTGCACCTCTGGACAAGGCAGCCCTGGTTGGCAGCTGTCCCGCCCTGGCTGTGGTTCCCCACACTCCGCTGGAGTCTCTGATCCCCCTGGGCTCAGCTTTGTCCCTGCTGTCCCAGTGAGGCCAGGCAGCAAGCCCGCTGTTTTGCTCACAGCATCAGAATTAGTGTGAGCCGCCTCCCCCCGTGCAGGGGGGTGGGAAGTATGTCTCTGTCCCACTCAGCTGCAGGGCTCTGGTTACAGACAAGCAGGTATCCTGAGCATAGCAGCTCCTCCGCCCTGCCAGCCAGGTCATTTGCATTTTCACTGACCACTTCAGTCTCAGCTGATTGGTTTCCCGGATTCAAATTCAAATCCTCAGCCATTACAGGAGCAGAGCCTGGATCCCCTGGATGGGTCCTTCTGCCTCTCAGCTCAGCCACCGCCAGTTCATGCTGCCACTGTCTTTCCTGCTGTTCTGCTTCATGCCTTCCCTTTCTCTCATGGTCCTCTGATTCCTTCAATCTTAGCTCCAATCCCATCCGTCTCAGATCCACTGATGGGAAACCCAGAGGAGACCCCCTGCTGGTTGGAAGTCTCAGGGATGCCCGGCTGCTCCCAGCCTCTCTCATGGCCCCAGCTGGGTCAGAACCCGATGCGGGCCCTGGGGCTGCCTGGCTGCTCCCAGCCTCTTTCGTGCCCCCAGCTGGGTCAGGACCCAATGAGGGCCCTGGGGCTGCCTGGCTGCTCCCAGCCTCTCTCATGCCCCCAGCTGGGTCAGGAACCAGCTCCTTAGAGCGATCATTCTCCTCCAACTGAGCAATTAGCTGTGCCTTGGTGAGCTTTCCAATGTGCAGCCCCGCCCCCCGCCCAGCTCTATAATGTCCTTTTTAAGGAGATAGTTATAGGATATCTCCACACTGTTCCCAAGTGGTCACGGACTCACAGGCCTGTGCTCTCTCAGCTCCCCACGGTCCCTGGGAGGAAAGTCTTCAGTGCAACAGTCCTTCTCGGGGGTCCACTCTCTCTTGGGGTTAAGCCGTAGGCTCCTCCACCTCCTGGAACTGTGCCTCTTGGAGCCTTCAGCACACCCGTCTCTCACTAATTCCCCTTCGTTCTACTGCAGGACATTCTATCCATGGGGTGCAGTTTATCCCACCACTGCCACCCGTTGCCATGGAGTCACCGGGCGATGCTCTGGAATTACTCCATATGAAGCCAGTCTGGGGGAGCATGCCTCCTCTCGCTGAGCATATTGTCGCCAGGGCAAGAAGCTTACACAGCTTCGATCTTCCTGGGTCTGGCCTCGGAGCATCCCCTTCCACACTGTGTGCTTTCTGCAGTGAGTCCACCCAGGCAGGGCTCCTGGGGAAGCCAGAGGACCCTGCACCACAACTCTGCAGTCAGATGTGACTCTCAGCCAGCTGGTAGAACAGAAGGTTTATTAGTTGACAGGAACACAGCGTAGGACATAACTTGTTAGCACAGAAATTAGTGACTTTCAGCCAAGTCCATCTTGGGGAGT